CAGTGGCCAACCATGGGATCTGAGATGCCGCCATCATAGATGCTTCCCCTGGGTGCTGATTCCATAGGTCTTGGTAGCACCATGAAATGAAATAGCACCAAGGTTTAACTTGGAGGCACAGGTATTTCCAAATACCTGGAACTCAGAAATCTCGTCTTACACTTTCTGTTATTCCTTATAACACCTAACCACATGGTAGACTTACAGTATGTGCAATATTGAAAAAAATGTAACAATGAAACTCTTTACAGTCTTTGCAATTATCAAGACACTAAGAAGTTAACTATGTTATAAAAGAGAAAATCTTTTGACAAATTGTAAGAAAAAATAAAAGGGGCATCTGCGTTAGGCAAAATTCATTCACTTATCCATTTATCAGGCATTCGTTGAGCACATAACAGGTCGTCAAATAGCAATATACAGTTACACTACAAGGAGGATAGGTGCTATCCTAGCAGTAGGTTTGCACAAGGCTGACATTCAGGTGGTACTCACAGGAAAGCCTGTATTAAATGTTAAAATTATTAAAGTACTTCTTTACTGGTCGATAGTCACTGTTCCAGATCCTCTAAATGACCCTTTGTTGCCCTGGCTTCTCTGATCCCTTCCTGATATGGTTTTACTGTGTCCCCATCCAATCGCATCTTGAATTGCAGTTCCCGTAATCCCCACGTGTCGTGGGAGGGACCAGGTGGAGATAATTAAATCGTAGGGGCAGTTTTCCCCAGCTTGTTCTTGTGATAGTAAGTGAGTTCTCACAAAATCCGATGGTTTTATAAGTGACTTTTCTTCCTTTAGCTTGACACATCTCCTTGCTGCTGTCATGTGAAGAAGAATGTGTTTGCTTCCCCTTCTGCCAGATTGTAAGTTTCCTGAGGCCTCCCTAGTCCTGCGAAACTGTGAGTCAAACCGCTTTCCTTTATAAATTACCCGGTCTCCCGTATATATTATTAGCAGCATGAGAATGGACTAATACAGTAAATTGGTACTGCAGAGAGTAGGCGGGGGAGCTGCTGTAAAGATACCCAAAATGTGGAAGCGAGTTTGAAACTGGGTATCAAGCAGAGGCTGGAACCATTGGAGGGCTCAGAAGAAGACAAGAAAATGTAGGAAAGTTTGGAACCTCCTGGAGATTTAGAGGGCTCAGAAGACAGGAAGATTTGGGAAAGTTTAGGACTTCCTAGAGATTTGTTGAATGGCTTTGACCAAAATGCTGATAGTGATATGAATAATAAAGTCCAGGCTGAGGTGGTCTCAGATGGAGATGAGGAAATAGTTTGAAACTAGAGCAAAGGTGACTCTTATTATGCTTTAGCAAAGGGACTGGTGGCATTTTTGCCACCAGAGATCTGTGGAACTTTGAACTTGAGAGAGATAATTTAGGGTATCTGGTGGAAGAAATTTATAAGCAGTAAAGCATTCAAGAGGTGATAGAACATAAAAATTTGGAAAATTTGCAGCCTAATGATGCAGTAGAAAAGAAAAACCCATTTTCTGGGGATAAAGTCAAGCTGGCTGCAGAAATTTGCATAAGTTATAAGGAGCCAAATGCTAACCACCAAGGCAATAGGGAAAACGTCTCCAGGGCATGTCAGAGACTTTTGGGGAAGCCTCTCCATCACAGACTGGAGGCCTAGGAGGGAAAAATGGTTTCCTGGGCTGGACCCAGGACCCCCCAGTTCTATACAGCCTTCAGACATGGTGCCTGGCATCACAGCTGCTTCAGCTCCAGCCGTGGCTAAAAGGTGCCAACGTACAGCTCAGGCCGTGGCTTCAGAGGGTGCAAGCCCCAAGGCTTGATGACTTACATGTGGTGTTGAGCCTGTGGGCACACAGAAGTCAAGAACTGAGGTTTGGGAACCTCGACCTAGATTTCAGAGGATGTATGGGAATGCCCAGATGTGCAGGCAGAAGTCTGCTACAGAGGCAAAGCCCTCATGGAGAATCTGCCAGGGCAATGCAGAAGGGAAATGTGGGGTTGGAACCTCCACACAGAGTCCCCACTGGGCCACTTCCTAGTGGAAATATGAGAAGAGGCCATTGTCCTCCAGACCCCAGAATGGTAGATTCACTGACCACTTTTGCACCATGCATGTGGAAAAGCTGTGGGCACTCAAAGCCAGCCCATGAATGCAGCCAGGATGGGGGTTGTACCCTGCAAAGCCACAGGAGTGGCACTGCCTAAGGCCATGGGAGCCCACCTCTTGCATCTGCATGACCTGGATGTGAGACATGGATTCAAACAAGATCATTTTGAAACTTTAAGATTTATTGACTGCCCTATTGGATTTTGGACTTGCAAGGGGCCTGTAGTCCCTTGGTTTTAGCCAATTTCTCCCATTTGGGACAGGTATATTTACCCAATGCCTGTACCTAGGAAGTAACTCACTTGTTTTTGATTTTTCAGGCTCCCAGGTGGAAGGGGCTTGCCTTGTATCAGATGAGACTTTTGGCTTGGACTTTTGGGTTAATGCTGCAATGAGTTAAGACTTTAGGGTACTGTTGAGAAGGCATGGTTGTATTTTGGAATGTGAGGACATGAGATTTAGGAGGGGCCAGGGGTGGAATGATAGGATTTGGCTGTGTCCCCACGCAAATCTCATTTTGAATTGTAGTTCCCATAATCCCCACATGTTGTAGGAGGTCCCAGGTAGAAATAATTAAATTATGGGGGTGGCTTCCTTCATCCTGTTCTCATGACAGTGAGTTCTCATGAGATCTGATGGTGTTATAAGGAGCTTCACCTCCTTTCCTTGGCACTTCTCCTTGCTGTCACCATGTGAAGAAGGATGTGTTTGCTTCCCCTTCTGCCATAATTGTAAGTTTTCTGAGGCCTCCCCAGCTCTGTGGAACTGCGAGTCAGTTAAACCTCTTTCCTTTATAAATTACGGAGTCTCAGGTATGTCTTTATTAGCAGCTTAAGAGTGGACTAATACACTTCCTTAGGATTCCCTGTGCTTCATTTTGGCCCAGTAATTAAGATTTGACATCTAGTATGCTACCCCAATCCCAGCACAATTCTGATTGGTTAGTGCTAACCTGTTCTTTATTTTAAATATTATTACCCCTTTGTACCTGGTGGAAGAGTGGTGGTTCTCAAGCTTCTATTACTCTTTAGGATCAAAACAGCTGACTGAGTTCACCCAAGAACTCTCAGATTATGACCCCCCAGGTGGTTATAATCTGCAGGCTGGTTAAGAATAGTTGTGTTAGAGGAATTTTGCTGAAGGGTATGGCCTGTTATTTGAAAGGGACTCACCAGTTACACAATGAGACCCTTGTCTGGGGAAGGAGTAACTCTAAGCCAGTGGGTCTCGATCTTGGTTGCCCATTGGAATGAAGAATAAGGAAAAAAAAACCCCAATACCAGGATGTTATTCCAGATATTCTAATTTAATTGGACTGGAGTGTGGCCTGGGCACTGAGGTTTTTATTTATTTATTTAACACTCTGTATCCATTTTAATGTGCAGCCAAGTCGAGACTCACTGCTTTAAGCAGAGAATAAACCAAGTTAGAACACCTAGCCTTGAGAGTATGTATTAGAGGCTTGAAAATAGAAAAAAAGGATATATTGATAACATATGTGTGTGTGTGAGACAGAGAGCAAGAGACAGAGAGAGAAAGAGCATGTAAACTAAATTAATAAAGGGATATAGTATAAAATGACTCAAAGATAGATTTTCTTAAGATTTTCCTAGATCCTAGCAACTGCATTATTATCATTTGGTTTTCTTTAATGTGTCTCCAAGTGATTGACAGATTGGACAATTCTGATCATAAACATTCTGGTCTCTAAGAGTCCAGAATGTATAGAGCATTATTAAAACAGCTCAGCTTACTAATTACAGCTTCCCTCCCTCTTTGCAGCTTCTTTTCCTAACTCTGCACTGCAGGCCCAGTATATTTTGTAACCCCCCAAATCTCACTTGCAGACAGAATTGTGACATCAACTCTTTTTTTTCTGGTGTGGTTTGGAATTAAATCATGGTGAGAACTAATTTCAACCCCGGGGCAAGTCTTGGCTGTTTGAGTAACTCTTAACTTTGCAGCTTTAATAAGTGCTCATTGTCTAAATGTATGGCGATTTCTTGGAACTGAGTTTCTATTTTGAATCTAACTTTGTATTGTCAATACCCTCCAGACAAATACCACCAGGGACACACCTATAATCAAATAAATTGAGTTTATAATTTATTGCAGAAGGAGAACATATACCATAGGAAACTATGGGGTGTCTCAGAGAGGGTGTTAGAAAGACCCTCTTACAGGATTTGGACTTTGAATGATGTCAGAGAGGGTCCACAAAGCAGGTGTTCACTCTAGATTGAACGCTGTCAGAAAGTGAGGGCAATTCTATAATTGGGTATCTTAATGAATCTTATTTATAGAGATGGTAGATTAATTATAAAGTAGCAGTCACATGTTTTGGCCAAAAGAGGAGATATCTGGCATTTTGTGGGTAGCGTAGTGACCTTGGTTTTATCTTTCCTTGGACAAAATTATGAAGTGGACTTGTTTTACCTTAGTTTATCATGGTCTCAGAGTAATCTCATTTGATGTTGGTATTCTGTGAGACTGTTTATGTTTAACAGGAGAATAACTTGACATAACTGTGCTAGACCAGCTTCTGGGGGCCAGGGCTGCCTTTCACCTGCTACTTCTCAGTAGTGTGCTTTGTTGTTGTTGTTGTTGTTATTGTTGTTTGTTTTGTTTTTTGACAAAGTTTCACTGTCATCCAGGCTGCAGTGCAGTGGTGTGATCACAGCTCACTGCAACCTTGACTTCTTAGGTTCAGGTGATTCTGCCACTTCAGTCTCCTGAGTAGCTAGGATTATAGGCATGCACCACCAAACCCAGCTGATTTTTTTGTAGTTTTTGTAGAGATGGGGTTTCGCCATGTTGCCCAGGGCTAGTTTCAATTCCCTGGGTTCAAGTGATCTGCCCACTTTGGCTTCCCAAAATGTTGGGATTACTTGCCTGAACCACTGTACCCAGCCCTGTATGGTTACACTGCCCAAAATCCCAGTTTCTTTCTAAAACTAGTGTTACAGCTCTTTTACTCCTGTAGTTCAACAAGTTCCGAGTTCTTGTACCACGACTGAGAAGAATGAGGTACACAGACACCAGAAAGTGAGTAAGGCAGAATAGAATTTATTGAGCAACAGAAATGCTCTTGACGGTGAGAGGGGACCTGAAGGTGGGTTGCCAGCCATGAGGCTAAGTCTAGGGATATTTATGGGCTTGAAATGGGGAAGTGCATGCTGGTTGGTCTGTGGGTATGTTTGAAAAAGCACCATTCAGAAATAGGCACAATAATGTAGAGGACCTACTGGGGAAGGATATGCATACGTAAAATAGGTGAAGGAAAAGGACCAATTTGGAGAGAGCATGCCAAACGGAAATGGGAGCTCTCAGTCTGGTTTGTGGATTTACACTTTGGTTTTCAGGTTTTAGATTGTCCTTGGCTTGAAGGTTGAGTTTCCCTGGGGATCCATCCCTTTCTGCCTAGGAATTTACCTGCTGTGGTGATGGTGGTTCTGTAGCCACTGCAGAGGATGGGATAAAGTTCTGAAAGCCTAAAAGCTGACTCGCACTGCAGCCTGCCACTTTGGTTCTATCTTGTAAGCTTCCTTCCCAATAACTGAATGGGGCCCACTGTTACCAACTCTTGCTTCCATTAAACTTGTTCTGACAGCCTTACTGAACAAGCCAGTGATTCTGCTGGCCCAGTCTGTGCAACTCTGGTAGTTGCATGAAGCTTGTGGTGGTGACCAGAATTCCTCTTCTTTTCAGCACATCACTACCTTCTGCTGGCTGTGCAATGCTCTCCATCCTACAGGACTCACATCCAGGTGAGTTTATGTGAGAAGAAACCCTTATTTTATTTTTTGAGACAGAGTTTCACTCTTGTCACCCAGGCTGGAGTGCAATGGTGCAATCTGGGCTCACTGCAATCTCTGCCTCCCAGATTCAAGTGATTCTCCTACCTCAGCCTCCTGAGTAGCTGGGGTTATAGGCATCCACCACCACACATGGTTAATTTTTGTATTTTTAGTAGAGATGAGGTTTGAACATGTTGGTCAGGTTGGTCTTGAACTTGAACACTTCAGGTGATATGCCCAAGTTGGCCTCCCAAAGTGCTGGGATTACAGGCATGAGCCACTGTGCCTGACCTGAAACACTTATATTGAGTCAAAATTTGTCTCTTTAAACCTCTTTTCTAACTTTGTTTTGTTTCTGCATGACAGCCCTTTAGCCTTTTTATTGATTACATGTTGGCTGAATAAATAAATTGTCTCCAAAATACCAGCATTTAGTAATATGTAGCCCTTTCTTTTGTTTAGGAAGCTTGGAATATTAAAAACAAATGTGAAATATATGAAAAAGGAATAAGGAGGAGTCATGGGGCAGATGTGAAAGAAAGAAGGCAATTTTAGAAAATGGAGATAGTGGTAGACAAACTTTTTTTTTTTTTTTTTTTTTTTTTTTTTTTTGAGACAGCGTCTTGCTCTGTCACTCAGGCTGGAGTGCAGTGGCGCCATCTCAGCTTACTGCAACCTCTGCCTCCTGGGTTCAAGCCATGCTCCTGCCTCAGCCTCCCATGTAGCTGGGACTACAGGCACCCGCCACCATGCCTGGCTAATTTTTTGTATTTTCAGTAGAGATGGGGTTTCACTGTGTTAGCCAGGATGGTCTCCATCTCCTGATCTCATGATCCACCCACCTTGGCCTCCCAAAGTGCTGGGGTTACAGGCGTGAGCCACTGTGCCTGGCCCATGGTAGACAAACTTTCAACGAAGAATGAGAAACAAAGGGAATCATGGGGCCTTTACAGTTGCCTAATCTTTCTAACTCAACTTCCTGCTTGAAAAAAAATTTCCTGTGACTCTCTGCAGTAATTACACAGTCAGCCAGGAATGCTGGATGGTCACATCATAGGGAATATTAAACAGAAAAACAATAATAAAAAGAATGTGTATAACAGGAAGAAAGAAAGCAATATTAGAAGCATGCCTGCAAAGAGAACAGATGCAAAGATTTTTCCATTGTTGTGGAAAGACACTTGAAATGCAAAAACAAGGCCAAATGACTTGCTCAAGGTCACCTGAGACCTCAGGGTAGAATGAGAGAGTAGATTATTGTCACACTCTATCCACTAGACCATGATGTCTCAGTAGCAGTGTACCTGCAGGCTAAAGTCACGTGTTGCATAGTTAGCACGCTGCTCCCAGCCAGACTTGAAAATAGCAGAATCACTGTTTTAGGAGAAAGATTTAAAGCTGTCATTAAAGAATCCAAGTAGCTGTTTTTGTAAGTACATAAATATCTTTAGTATGGGGAGGCAGAATTAAGTCTTGATAGCCATCTCACAAATGTTGACTATAAATGTTTGGTTAGCGACAAGTCTGGCTAAAAAGGAAATAGAATATTTATGAACTGTCATGAAAAAGAATCTCTGCAAGGTTCACATTTAGACAACAGTGCAATGAAGGCAATCTTATGAGTTATTCAAGAGAATCGTCTTGGGAACAAGATCTATGGTGATTCTGAGAATTACCTATATAAATAAAGTCAAATTGGGAAGGTGGGCCATTCTGTTTTTACACAGAAAAAATCATTTGGGTTTCTAAGACACTATCTAAGATGTACTAAAATGGAGATTATCACTTGCTTATTTTCTTGAAAAACAATTAACATAGTAACATAGAAGAGTAGTGGCCAATAGATTCCAAACCAGAAGGAACATTTATAGAAGTGCACACACACATAAAGACTCCATAAGTTACTTACATTACTTTTATAGTATTCCTAATTATTATAGTGGTTTGAAAGAGACCAAATGTAATATCTAAATACAAAAGATCAGACTTATAAGTGACAAGGTTTTACTGACCCCAATATTCTGTAAAGTTGAAAACAAAGTACAATTGATTTTAATGATATGCCTGATATAATGCAGGTCTTTGTTGTACTTTCTATCAGATTACAATTCTGCCTGTCTTGAAATAATAATGGCATTCTTTATGAAGCCATTTGATTAACTAGAATCATGAGCTTTGCAGGAGGAAATGAATAGTGGCAAGAATGACTTGCTTTCTGAGTAAACATAGCCTAGAAAAATGTTTTCCTGGGAGAGCACTCTCCATTCTCCACCTCCGCTGGTGTGTCCTCTGACTAAGTAGTTCGTGTACTGCACCACTGCCCAGAATATTCTTGAGACAGCCTCCCACCCTACCCCACCTCATCATGCTCTTCCAGGACAGCTACAGGAAGAAAAGGAGATAACAGAATCTAATGATGTCCCATAACATCTCCAGTCAAGGTGTGAACATGAAGCTCCAGTGAGTAATGTGGTGTCTCACATCTATAAATGCCTTATGTGTGACTAATGCATTCTTGAGACATGTCCAGGACAAGTAGAATTAAGTCTTGATGGCTGCCTCTGATGATCACACCCTCATCAGCAGTCTGATCTATGCTTTGTTTGCAAACCCGGACCTTGTTGTGGCCTGCAACTCCCCACAGGCTCTCTCCCCAGCTGTCAGGCCTCTTCTAAAACACACTTCCCCTTTAGAGAGGGCCGACTTCACTCGTGTTAGAACCTGACACCCCGAGAGACTTTCCCCTCACCAGCTGGTTTTGACTGTGGCAGAAATGTTGTTGACATAGCAGATGGTCTTGATATTTCTGAAAACCGGCAACATCTTTGCCATTACCACCCCCACACTCTTGGCTACTGTTTCTCCTTCAAGTAGTTTGGGTCATTTTTAGCAAACCTGTATGTTCCAATATTTTTTCTTAAATATAAAAACAGGGACAGTGTAAGGCAAAAGTCTCCTTCTAAAATATAGACCAAGGCAGAATATGAGGGCTCTTTCACAGAAAACTCAAAAGCTGAAATAAATTCTATTTTTAATCATAGATTCTTTGATGAATTAAAATGAGCAAGAAGTGAGCAGATTTTAAATATTTGTGGTCTGAAGTATCAGGCAGTCAGGTGTGGCTAATGGATTGTGCTACAAGAAGTAGAGTCATATATTCATGGTGTTTGAAACCTTTTAAAACCATATACCAATGAGTAATGTATATCCTTACTGAACACAAGATGACTTGAGAGAAGGGTGAGTGCAACTGGATTAGAGATTATTCCTTAATAGTAACTCTAGAGCCAAAGCAAATCAAAGACACCATAACAACGTGATGACTTGGGATCCAATCCAGTCGTCCCGAAAAATTAAAATCAGACTGATTTATTATTTCCTTGCTTGCTCCATGCAGGCAGGCACTGTGAACAGTCTCTTAAACTCACTAAATAATGGTCTAAACAGCTCTGCTTCATTTGGGAGATATCAGTACAATTTTGGAAAATGCTTATTCTCCTGGAAAGGACTTTCACACAGATGGGATGTAAGCATGAGCAGTGGAGGTCCTGGCAGGTTCAGTCAGCCTCTTCAGTCAACATCACTATCCAGGCCTGTAGCACTCACAACTGAGAGTGTCATTTGGATTGGCTAACAAAGGACAGGTGAGAATTCTGCCTCCAAAATGTCACAGTTAAAACACAGCTTTCTAGATACAAATCCTGCATTCTCTTTTTTTTGTTGTTTTGGATTGCAAATATTTATTAAAAGTGGAGACACTGTTTTAATCTTCTTGTGCCATGAGACTCCGTCAAGCTGTCTACAAAGAACATTGGGAGGCTGAGGATCACTTGATCCCAGAAGTCTGAGGCTGTAGTAAGCCTTAAAGGGCCACTGCACCCCAGCTTGGGTGAGGCAAGACCCTGTCTCAAAAAATAAGAGACTTTTAGCCACATTTCCAGACTTCAATTAATATGCTACATGGGAATGCAGAATATCAGATCTTTTATTGTCATCAAGTAATCAGTGAGAGAAAATCTTGCATTCTCACAGTAGTATCAGTGATCCCTACAGCAGTGGAATGTGGAGTTAATTCTTTTGAATGCCAAAAGCAGCGTCCTAAGGATGAGAACCCAGTGGAGTTCTCCTTCAAGTAGTTTGGGTCATGGATGAGGTATATAAAAAGAATGGGAGGAATCTGTGAAAGTGTAAACATGGCATGTCCCAAGTAAGGCAAGCTGAATGAGGAACACCAATTTGGGCATCAGGTATATGGTGGGGTGGGATGGCAAGGGGACTCACGCATGGCACAAGAGAGCAGAGAGAGTAATGTAGGGATTGTCATGAGAAGCTAGGGGCGGAGAAGCACTGGGTACATGATGTGTTATAATTTCTAGTTCCTTCCTGCTTTGTTGACTACATTAGTAGGGTCTCCAAAGGAAAAAGTACTTGAAATAAAAGGTTCTTTTCATAATGGAAAATGACTTACTTATAAAAAGTATTCTGTAAACCCTACCATCAGTCTGGCTTATCTCCAAGCACAGAAAAACAAGATAATGAAGAGAACTGAGACAATGTGAAAAACAGTTAATAACTAGATGAAATGGACACCAAACCAATCAGAAGAGACCTAGAGCTAATTTGCTAGATAATGGGGAGGTCAGGAGGACCCAGCAGTGGTGTGGGAGGGGATTTGGGATAATTTTAAGGGTACCAAATAATTTCAATATGTTAATACAGAGTCACACCAGCTAAATACAAGCCCTGAAGATAATCAACATTTCTTAGAAGTCATGTCTTCTAATAGAAATATTTAATAAAGTTTATAGAGCCAGGGAAAGAGCCCATATCTTGGACCCTTCTCACTTGTTAAAGGCTCCTTACTCATTATCAACCTACATCTGTCAACCAAGTGAAACAAAGTATAAAATAAGAATTCTCCTACATCTTTCCTCATTAATGGAAGACAGTAGCTTCAAGGAAAAAGTATA